TCCTTGGAAAAACACTTCATTCACTTCAGAATGTGAACTCTGTGGGAATGGAGAAAATTAGTTTTATGAGGCCAGACTTTTTTAATTCCTTGTTTCTCAAGTTTTTATAAGGCAATTTTTTTTGAGGAGGGCGAAAATAAAATAAAATAAAATCTTTTTTTCCATTAGATTTGTGTGATTATCAAAGAATTGTAAGTTAGATCATTGATCGGAGAGAAGAAATGAAATGAAATAAAATTTTATTCCAGGTATAACCTTGTTTCTCATCTGCGCGAGACTTCAGTACTTTGATCATGATACTCCCACGAAAATGCAACTTGGATTTATTATGCGGCGGGCGGTAAAAAAATGATAAAAATAATATTTTTTTAGCATTTTTTTGAGCTTACAAGTCGTCGGGGCCGCGAGAAATTACACTGAAATGAACTTTTATTTTTATTTCATTTTCGGCTCCAGTTCATTTGGCAGGTTCGCGAAACAAGGGATAATAAAAGTCTGGCCTGAGTGACTAATTTTTTCAGTAGTGTGTATCTTGATTTATCTAGTAGTAACTGTATTTGTGCTGCATCCAGGGTATATGTAGCAAGCACCTAGACAAATTGTTCAGACACTATTGTTAGGGGATATTTTCTATTTTTAGCCAGCAATCCCCCCCAAATAATGAACTTTTCAACAATTAAATGAACATTAGTAAAAAAAAATATACTGTTCTACCTCGAGGGGATTCTTCAGGCAACACACCAAGCAACGTATGAGGTAATGTTGCAATAATAAGGAGCACATGATGGAACTAACTGTGATAATGGGCAAGTATAGTTGCTTGAAAAATCATTATGAGGCAACATTGCCTGACCCGTCTTGCTGATGTAATTATATCAGACACAGCACGAGGCAAATCATGAGGCAATTTGTATTTTTGGTTGGATTTGGGAGTAAACCAATCATACAAACCATCTATGCTATTTTTTAACAGATTTTTCATGTATGTTATAGAGCAAGCATCATATTTGCTAGAAGCACATCTCAAATAGAAATGTAACTAAACTATAAATTGCATTCATTGTGTACTGTATTGTATGAATCATTTTGGCCATATAGACACACCTCTTAAAAGTATATTTGCGCATACGCTTCTGATAGAACACCATGGATAAAGCAAATACAGTATGGTACATGAAAACTGAAGGCATTCCGTTATCTTTTTTAATAATAGTGCAAGTGCTTAATTAAAAATAATTCACCATATTTTATAAATGCAATATTTGCAAAATATGCATTTCTACATAACAATACAGTAATTTATATTGAGGTTGCAGTGACACAGTTTCTGCATGCTTTCTTATCAGCATGCCCTCTATGTTGTTTTAACATGTCACTGATGCAAGGAATTCATGATTACACAACCAGAAAGTATTTTTTTAAGTTTCATTGACGCAAACAAAAACACAATTTACGGAAGAAAAAAAGTACATGCTCTGAAAAAAGCTTTGGTAACAACAAAATATATTGTAATTTATTGATTTTAATAATTGTACATAAATGGTAACAGAATCCTCTAAAATTTGCTAACTGGCGGAAGGGGGGACACCTACATGTAACTATTGTACACACCCCCTTTTCTTGCTTGACAACTGAAATAAGGAGTGTTACTACACAATGTGTAATGCTGCTGCTGATGTCCAAATTGACTCACTCAAATTTCATTTTTCTTGTTTGACCCACAAAAATCAGAAACCAATGATTGTTATAGGGCACATTGTTTCTCATTCATTTTGGGGTCTGAATTTTCAACACAAGTAGACCATCTAGCAGCGTGCTTGAAATGGCCTTGTATTAATATACATCTGCAGACTTGCATTCATACTTGCATGTATACACCAGTAAGAATGAGGAAGTAAAAATCTGAAAAATGCTGGTGATGATATTCAGAGAATGTATTATACTGTATCCATCAGAGACAAACACAATGTGTGAATCAATCAAACAAAACATAGACAAGTTCAGTAGACAGCAACAAACATTGGCACTAAACATAACTCAAACTTACAAATAGCTACGCACCAGAGTAATATGCCACTGTGATATTATTATGTAATGTTTAACATGGAAACTATTTAAATT